GTTCAAATCTTGCCCACTAGGGCTTCACATGGATCACCATCTGCAAAGAAAGACAATACCCTTGATCAGAAGGCTATAGGCAAAGCAAACAAACCTAGATTGAAGACAAAAACCATTAGCTCACCGAAGCTACCCTATGAAGAGCAGTGGTCGTCTAAGTAGATAAAGGCATCAAAGAGGCCTCACGGATGTTCGCATCTGGGATAATGGAAAGAAGGGTGTTGGAAGCCAGGTTCATATCCCTAATATGGAAAACCCCACCTTTAGCAGCTCGGCTTGAGGAACTTTTTGTTATGTTGAGGACTAGCGGATGGGATGTCTCACCAACAGACTTTGGCAAAAGAGGACCTCGCAGAGATGGAGCCAAGGACTCTAATTCACTGACCACCTATGTTGCTAAGGAAGAAGTCTTCATATCCTTTGTCGAAGGCTTCTTAGGCCCAAGAGTAGTTGAGGACACCACAATAGGGGATTTGGGGGTAGATGGAGTCTTATAGGGTGGAGGAGCATTTTGGGGAGTAGGTGTTTTCTGAGGTGGCGGAGACATTTGATTGCAGTCGAATCCATCTCCATTTTTTCACAAGCTTCTCAACTCTACTCCATCAAAATGGTAGAGCAAAAAAAGCACCAAGGATGATAAAAGAGACAACTTTTGTGTCTACTTCCTCTATGTTACATTAAATATCAATTGAATGGGAAAAAAGAAAAATGTGAATCACAAATAAATACCAAGAGCTTGTCTTGTGTTACATGTTAAACATCCTAAAATAATGTAGACAAAAACGTAGACAAAAGAATGGCAAAACGTAGACAAAAAAATAAAATAAAAAAGAAATTAGCAATTTACATTAAGAGTATAATTTGACACATTTTTAGTTGGAAAATCAAATTGAAGCTCCAAAATTGGCTGGTTTATTATGGCTATCTACAATCGAGTAATGCGACACTGACCAAATTTTGAGACCAAATCAAGAGCCCAAATGACATGGCAGCTGATTTGGACTTCTTTATTTGGTGTCATGTTATTTAGGACTCAATAAAGACTTCAAATAATCTGTTGCCATGTCATTTTGGGCTCTTAATTTGGTCTCAAAATTTAGTTAGCATAGCATTACTGTCTACAATCTACTCCAACTGACTCATAGATTGACTTGAAACCATCCTTCTCTAAGTACTGGGCAAGTTCATCCTAAAAAGGAATAAAATCCTAACTTGTCCTGAAGAAAGGAAATAGCTATTGAAGTTGACGTGCTAAGAAAAATCTGTCAAGAAGTATCAAGTGCTATTGTTCATCGATCCTTATCAAACATTGAGCATGGCAATAATAGCCACCACTACTATCGAGTGATAGCTACAGTCTCGGTACCATAGCTCTGACTTACAACCATCAGTGTCCGTCGTCTAGTACATTTCCTCTTAGTTTTTTAGTGCAAATCTAGTAAGGTTTGCTTAGTCTCGTACACCCACTCAGAATGGTTACTAGACAAGGTTGGTCTTGGGTAAGGTTTGATAATACATTTTTGTCCAACCTTTACCAGACCAGCATTGCCACTTAGCCATTCTTGAAGGAACATAGATGATGTGACACAACCTTTACTTGATCCAAGCCTTGGTTGGAAACAAATGCTACACTCGTAATCCAAAAGAACCTATTATTTTTCATTTAAGCTTCAAAAAAGCTAACATACATCAGAATAATACCTTCAATTGGGGGTGCAAGGGTGAGTCCCCCATAGGTGATTCGTGCGTAAAGTTAACAATTTTTACTATGCCTTTTTGGACTAATTGTACTTTGATGGAGTTTAAGTAATGACATTTCAAGTCATAAAAAGAACAACGGCTCAAGAACAACAAAAATCACACTTGAATGTAACACCAGCACACTAGGGAACAAAATTATAGAAGGTTGGAACAAAGCAAGAACGTTCAAACTTCAACCCACGTTCGAACGTCCTCTGAAACCCTACTAAGACCAGCTGCTGAGACATGGTGTGTTGCAGTCAGCAAAGGAAAAATGCTAAGGTACTTGAGTACCACGTTCGAATGCCAACTCACGTTCGAATGTCCTTTGGAATCCTGAGAAGACTACACCACTAGAACCTGGCATGTTGCAGTAATGAAAGAAGAACCAGAAGTACTCGAGTACAACGTTCGAATGCCACTCCACGTTCGAACGTTGTCTTGAGTGACTGAGGACCAAGTTGCTGAGTGTAAAGTCAAGGTTGTTAAAGACGTATGGAAGTGACCAAATCAGTGACCACAGGCCACTTGAGTGGAAGGAATCAGGCCCCATCTGGCGTTCGAACGTCCTCAAAGCAAAGACACAGACAACGTTTGAACGTCATCTCACGTTTGAACGTCCTTAAAGAAAAGACAGACTTAACGTTCGAACGCCAGATCACGTTCGAACGTCACCCTGCAGACTGCCTGCAGAATAATTGATTCTCATGGGTGGCAAATACTATTCACTCATCCTCTCTTATCTCCTACCCCTCTCCCCTTTCTTGCCTATAAATACTCCCATGTTGAGAGCTTAAAAGACATTCTTCCTCTTGTAGAGAAAAGGGGGAGCAATATTTGTTCTTGTAAAGTTAAGAGTGTTTTAGTAATCTAGTTCATGAACATTTCATGTTTATGTTTTCATTTTGTATTTATATCAACCATGATGGAGGATTAAACTCCTCTTGTAGTTGTACTTGCTTTTATTTACAAAGTATCAAGAGGGATAGTTCAACTTTTGGTTGTGGTGGAAACCCTCCAAAAGTAACTACTTTTCTTTCACTTTTATTGTTCATGTATTCCACTTTCATTGCTTGAGCATCCTTCTTTCTTAGAAGAGTGAAACTCTTCCACTTTTCTAAAACTTTACCAAAGCCGTGAAGGGTGGAAAGTGATTCACTTATTCTTCATTGAAGATAAATTCTTTGTTTAGTTTATTTTACTTAGTAGCTCATCTACTTAAAGGGATGAGTAGCACTCACTTTTCTAGCTCTGCCAAGGTCATGAAAAGTGAGTAGTTTCTCATTCACTCTCCAGTAATAGGTGATGAATATGTAAAGATTATCTGGAAGTTATGTTTGTGTAACTTCTTCATGCTTTAATGCTTTATACTCCACCTGTTTATTGGATAATTGAATGTATCTAGCAAAGTTGAGGTATTTTATATAATCAAAGGCTCCATCTATGATATGGATGACTCCTGCATAGAAAGACCTATTGGTTCAAGACAAGCACCCCAGGTAGCTCTTCATGACAACATTTCAATCTCCACCATTACTGCGCTTTATTCAAAGAATGGATCATTAATGCCATGGTTGGATGCCTTGTAGAAACACTTGCTTGTTTGTAGACGGGTTAAGTTTCGACATAGACAATTCTTGTAAACTTCTAGAAAGGCATTGAAATCATGTGCTTAATTCTCACTGTCCATCTTTATCTTGTGATTAACTTGCTGTTAACACGGGAGTTAATTGAGTTATAAAACACAAACATAATAAATCGGATAGTCTATTACATGTCCTGATCCTCGAGCTAAAGAGTGGTTGTTACATTTAGAGAATCTTATATTTTGTCTAAAAAACTCTTAAAAAAGAATCTTCTATTCTATTCAAGAAACTCCACCACTTCAAACTCTCGAAATTTTTAGTTACTTGGTCTCTATTATTGCTTATTTGAAAACACCAATCATAGTTCCCTGTGGATTCGACTCCAGACTTAACCGGATTATTACTACAATTTTACCGTTTGCACTTGGTGTACACATTTCGGATCAAGTCAATAGGCAAATGCTATATAAAGTTGAATAAATGAAAAGGTCTAAACGAATGGGAAGGGGCAAGGCTAGTGTGATTGCCAACTCTCCATTACTCCACATGACTTGGAATTTGGAAAGACATGGTCCAAGTAGGTATAACAAAAATGACAGAGATAGACATGTTTTGAAATTTGAAAAGACACGATCTAGGTTGGTATAATAGAAATATTGGAGGGTATGTCTAGATATAGCTAGATAGTTATAGGTAGATTTTATTAGTAGTTTAGACATAGAGATATTAATATAGCAGTTCAACCATTATCAGATTTTTTTTTCAAAATTAAAATAGCAACCAGTGACTCAATTCAGTTAACATAAATGTGATAATTACATATAATTTAATAATATTATTAACTACAAAAAGATACGATAGACATTAGCTATTTTTTTAAAGTTATTTTGATTAAACAAAATTTTTTCACTTTTATTGATATTTTGAAATAGTATAGATATAGAGATAACATTTTGAGTTGAACTTGAATTTACTTGAGTAATAATAAAGGATAAATTACATTTTATCCTCTTGAACTATTACATTTTTTTTACTTTGTATACTAAACTATAAAATTTCTCACATTGTACCATAAAGTATCAATTTTATTTCATATCACTCCAATATATAACGATTGTCAATTTTTTGACGGTAAATGCTTATGTGAGTGGTCTATATTGCCAATAAACAACTGCCTATTATATATGTACATGTCAAAAATTAAGAAAAACACCTATCCATTATTTTGCCCTTTCTAACATCTAAATTTTCATCCTTTGACTAATTTTCTTTCTTATTTTTCCCAGAAACAATTTTGTTACAAAAGAGGTAAAATAAAGTGGTATTAGACACTTAACGGGAAACTCTTTGGGGTTTTCCTCCCTCATTTAACAAGTTTGTCTTTATCTATTGGAATGATTTGAAACAAAATTAATATTTTGAGGTTTAATGTGAAAACTTTTATAGTTGAGGGTTTAAAGTGAAATAAGGGTAATAGTTTAGGTGGTAAAGTGTAATTTTCTCAATAATTAATCGGAGCAAGATTAGATTTTTTTCTGAAATTACAGAAATAGGGCTGCTTAAAGTGGGCGATAATTAAGTAAACATTTCTTGTTAATCCGAAAAGAACCTAAAATCGGAGTACTCGACTATCAGGTCTCGTAACAATTTTGGAACTAAGTTCTGGCCAAAACCATGGCCTCCCCGGCGATCCAGAGATCCCCAATTTCTGCCTCTTCCTCTCCTCTCCAACGCCTTTCCACATTCAAAGACAAAGCGCCCACCACTACTCCCACCAACGCCACAACCCCACCGTCCTCAATCACTCCCATCACCACCCCATTCTCCCACTCGCCATCCCCTCTTGAGTCCTTCGCCTCTGACCCAATATTCTCTGCTTTCCTCTCCCCAGACTTCAACTCCACCCGCTTCTCCTCCGCCGCTCTCTCTTCCGGCTCCGCAGCCTCCCGAATCGAGAAGCTCCAAGACGGTATCCGCCACCTTGAACAGCAGCTCCGCTCCGAGGTCCTCTCCCGCCACCATGATCTACTCCACCAGCTCTCCTCCATCAAAGACGCCGAGTCTGCCCTCTACACCCTCCGCTCCTCCATCTCCACTCTCCAATCATCCGTCCGCCACATCCGTGCCGAGATCTCCGACCCCCACCGCCAGATCCACTCTAAGACCCTCCAACTCTCCAATCTCCACACCTCGATTTATCTCCTCCAATCCACCATCAGAGTACTTCGCCAAATCAAGAAACTCCGGGATGTAATGGCTATAAACGAGCATGAACCCGAAAAACTAGACCTCTCGAAGGCTGCACAGTTGCATTTCGAGATACTATCTTTGTACAATGATAGCAATCTTTTGGGAATCGATGTAGTTGATGTAGAACTTAAATGGGTATTCGAGGCGGGGCAAAAACTACGGGCCGAGGGCATGCGGGTATTGGAAAGAGGTCTTGAAGGGCTGAATCAGGCGGAAGCTGGGGCAGGTTTGCAAGTGTTCTATAATTTGGGTGAGTTGAGGTTGACTATAGATGGGTTGATAAGTAAGTATAAGGGTATGGCAGTGAAGAGTCTGAGTGGGGCATTGGATATGAAGGCGATATCGGGGATTTCAGGAGGTGGGTTTGGGCCGGGAGGGGTACAGAGGAGTGGGACCCCACAGATTGGTGGAGGGGCGAAGGCAAAGGAGGCGTTATGGCAGAGGATGAGTGCTTGTATAGATCAGCTGCATTCAATTGTTATTGGGGTTTGGCATTTGCAAAGAGTATTGTCGAAGAAGAGGGACCCCTTTACACATATTTTGCTGCTTGATGAGGTCATGCAGGTTAGTGAATTGTACTATCTATTACAAAGTCTTCGTTTTTGTGTTCTTTATCATTGTGTTTTTTTCATTTTCATTTTTGTTTTTTGCTGTAGTTCAGTGATATTCTATGCTTTCATTAATAGACAGTCTGAATGGCTGACCACTTAACAGCTCATGTTTGGACATGTCTATGATAGGATATATTAGAAGAACCCCAGGTTGCTTAAAAATGATAACAACTTCCCTTTCAGGTTAATTTTCACTCATCAGCAGTCTGATTTTGTATATATTTTCTCTGTATCTGCCTAAGTTCCCTACCCATTGGTGAATTTATTTCATAATAAAGGGCAATGTAGAGGTCTTCAAGGATTACCATGATATAGTGCTGTGTACATTCATTGAATATATTTAGTTCCAAAACAACTTTTTTCTGGTGTGCTTTACACGTTAAAACTGCATGTTAGATGAAATGCAGATTTAGTGAGTCTAGAATCAATTACTGGGGGTAAAACTTGCTGATCACTATGCAACCTGAATTTACATCTATGTTACTTGGTGTTTCTTGCCTGTCTACCCTTAGTGAGAGTGAGGAGAATTTTCATGTTAAGAAATAGAATTGAAAGCTGGAGGTTGGTTTTTTTTTTTTTTTTGGGTTTGGGGGGTTTTGGGGGGGGGGTTACTTGGTGTTGGAAATGCTCTGCCTCTAAATGTTTGTTATTTTATGACAAGATTTAACATGCCAGTTTGTCACTATTTGTGATGCCTCAAATCCCGGGGGTCCTTAATGCTTTTTAAGCCTTGTTAATTAACCCAAGGTATTAATCCCAACGGATCAATCCCAACAGAATTTCGGCGGAGTCTCCTTTGTACTGGGAGCTCCACCCTAACTCAATTTGTGCTCTAGACTAACACGAAGACCATTCCAAGGTCCAATTAAACATTTAAGCATTTTCAAGCATTAAACATTGATTAACGAGTCTCAAATGAAAAAATATACATTTATCATAAAAATAGATGCATAAAGTCTCGCTATGTACTAGTCTTTACTCAAAAAAATATACAAGTTGTTGCATAATCAAAATACAAGGCTAAAAGTAGATACAATGAGACTTAAGCATCTATACGTCCAAAAATGAAAACCTGGACTTCAACTCCGTCGTCAAGTCGGACCCATGTGAGGGTCATCTGTGGAAGCTTGAATACCTGAAAAATGTTCTCATAATGGGGTGAGCTGAAGTCCAATAAGGTATCTCCTATACAAAATACCTTTCGACCCAAATGCATATGATATGAATGCACATTTAAATGATACTAAGCATGTCAATCATGAATGATGTTTCATGAATACATGTTTGACTCCGATCCCTCTGGGATTCCCATGCACGACACATGATGTAATGCCATGTCATGAGCGGTGCATTCCAAGCCCCGTAATTGATATTATACATACCCAATGACCGTTTATTTATTTTTGTGTCTTTATGGGGTAGGTATGTTTATGAACTTCCACCAACAGACTACCTAATTGACAAAGGATCTCGAGGACATCCCATCTCCGACTTTGTATTACACCGTCACACTTTTATGGACTCATTATACCATCGAAAATTGTGTAATTGAAAAATAGGGTCTTGCACTCGAGAGAGAATTTAGCCTTTCTTGCTATATTTTGATATATTTTCATGCAATATCCCGTAAGGCTCAATCGGACCTTGGTCCAATCTTCCTGGGCCCCAACTATCAACTCACTTATGTGGTTGATTGATTAAACCCATGCACAACACTCACAATCATGAAATTTCTAAGAATGTAGTATTAACTCGTGCACTTGCAATGTAATATACAATTGAAATTTAATTGGAAGCACAATGTCAATTATAGCATTGACCACATAGTAAACATTCTAGTATATCACCAATCATTTTATAAGCATTAATTAACTCAAATAAGATACTTGAATACACTTATGTATTTTATCAAACACCAAGAGAGCATAAATGTAAACACATTATGCTCATTGATTCATCAAGCATCCCACTAGTTACAATAGTTACATAGTAGATATGTAATTATACTATATAAAATCCTACCCATATCATATACATGGTTAGAATTGAAAGTAATTCTAAAAAAGAGGAAACCCTCATCTCTTGTAGCATGAGTGAAGTTGAGAATCCCTTTAGAATGCCCAAAATAAGCTCCTCAAGGCCCTAGCCCCAAACCCTTGATTTTTGAAAAATATGGAAAATGGGCGAGATTGGCATTGAAACTTAGCATTCGTTTCATCCTTTCACATTGGTATCATCCTCCCATATATCTGGGATAAAAGAAACTCTTTCTTGGTGAAGGAAATCCCTATCCTTAATAGGTTGGACTCCTTAATCCCTAAGAAATAAACCAGGGTTACGTGGATCGCGGGTTGCTTTGGTACGTGGTACAGGTATGAGTGTGTAGTATGTTATTTTTTGCGGTACGTGGTACAGTAGGAGTAGGCTTATTCGGTACGCTAATTGGGGTTGTAGTTTGTTTTGAAAACTTATTTGGTTGTTTATACTATTGCAAGAAATTATCTATAAGTATGCATCAATACACATGGGGAGTTAATATTTATACATGTGACAGTTTTCAAGATTTTTTTTATTTATATGCATACACTCATAATTAATTAATATCTATTTTTCTTTTATTTTAAAAGAACCAAAAGGAATTAAGATTCAAAACCCATAACAATATACCATCTAATAATTGTAAATAAGAAAAATAATGGTGCATATTTGTATTATGAGAAAAATCAAATCACAATAAATACAAATTTAAAGAACATTAAAACAAAAAAAATAAATTAACAAATAGTAATTAAGTAGTTTCCTACTTGAACATATAATCAAAATAAAAATCCTAAACAATTAACTAGCCTCAAAATAAAACAACTAAATACGAAAAAATATTTGCATTGCAATGCTTAATTTTCAACTGTTTTTCCTTTTATCTTTAGCTGTGTTCCCTCCTCTTATAAAGTTGAAAATTTGAGTCTGATGTAGTCCAGTATGTCGAGGTGTTGGCCTACTAGAACCAATAGGTGCACCTGTAATAGAAGTGGGGATAAAAGCATGAGATGTCTCTTTACGGTGTTCTTCCTTGGTTGCATCGACTGAAAAATCAAGTAAATCATCCTCTAAGGATTTTCACAAGTCTTCCAATCAAATTATGGAATCATCTATATAGGTGTGTTTTGGATTGATATCCCATTTTTGTACCTTTTAGTGAAACGTGATCGGAGACGAATATTGGAATGAATGAACACCAGCTTATCAGCTCTTGCGGAGTTCAACCTATTTCTCTTGACATTGTGAATGAATGAATATGTACTCCAATTTCTTTCAGCTGATGAACTTGTTATTGGTTGAGACAATTTCTATCATAAAGAAAAATAATAAAATAGATAAATAATGATAACTAACAATAATATAAAATAATGGTAAAATCGAACTTATACCTTTTTAGCCACATCTGCCAAAGTTGGAGTTTTTGAGCCATATGTTGACCACCAATCAATAGCATCCATAGTTACATCATCAGTTTGAGCAGCTGCTATAGCATAAAGGTCTTTTCGCCCATGAAAAGTTGCATATTCTTTTCTTAATGTTTTTGTTTCTTGTTTATCTTCAGCTGCCTTTCCAAATGCTTTCATGACACCAATGATCACCTTCTTATCTTGATTTGGGCTCTTCCTTATTGTGCCATCTGGTGTCATAGCTAGATATTGACTATCATAAAATCATGGATCAAGTGCAAACCCAAGACAATGCATTAGAATAGTCATCTTCTCCCATCTATCAAGCACAATTTTTTCAATCTGAAATGTTTTTTCTTTGTGCTTTTCACCTCTCATAATATCTTTAATTTTACTAAGCATGTTGTCCCATTTTTTGATCATTAGTATCGCAAAATTTAATTAAAAGATATATCGGCCTTGTGTTATTTATTATATGCTTCACATCATCCCAAAACTCTTCACTTTTCACAATTTTCATAACCAGGGCATCTAATTTTCTTGTATGTTTATCTCCAGCTTTCAACCATTCTTTTCTAGTTTTTAGAACAATAGTAGTTGCTAGTGACTCTCTAAAGTCAATAAGTCGCTTCAACAAAATATAATGTTAAACAAACCTCGTTTTTTCCATTTTTAATAGCTCAAATTTGGATTGAGGCTTAAACATAGCCAAAGCATGAGTATGATTAATGAAGTACTTAACAATTGATTTTCCCCTCTATAAGTATTTCTAAACCATTCAAATTTCTTTGTAAAGTCTTTAAAAGTAAGGATCAAAGTATGAACAACACAAGAAGACCTAAAGATATGTTTGTGTAACTTCTCTACCTCTTTACCAGCAAGCGCACAATTTGCTACATTGTCGGTGATTACTTGTAGAACATTAGATGATCCCACATCTTTAATTTCTTTCAACAAAAATCAGCAATTTCTTTACCTGTTTTTTCTATCCTTGAAAAATCCTCGACATATAAGAACATAGCCCCACGATTATTTGCAGCAATGATATTAATTAATAGTTGATGTTTGACATTCATCCACCCATTTGACACAATAGAAACGCCATGAGAAAACCATAAATCCTTCATCGAGAACAAATCTTTTTTAACACTTCTTTTACACTCATCCAATAAAACAGTTCTTGTTTTTTAATAAGAAGGAGCCTTGTATCTTTTAGGTTCTCTATTTATTGTTAAAATCATCTCATGAAATTGAGGATTTCTCAACACATTAAATGGAATTTCATTAGCACATAAACCTCTCATTACCTTCATATCAACCATATCTCCATCCATAATTTTGAATACATCTTCAATTGGTCTTGAAGTTGATGAAGTTTGTTGTTTGATCAGAGTAGAATTTTTTAGGGACGAAGAAATTCTTTTTTTTTTTTTTGGTCCGCCCTTTGTACTCTTTCTCGTAATTGTTGATGTCCAACATAATTATTTGTTAATATCAAGCACCTTTTAATGTTTGATTTTTTTTTCCCCAATTGGAGCACCAAAAAAATGATAATGCATTCGAGTATACGAACTTGTAAAGTTCGTATGACAATGTTTGCATGTCCCACTCTTTGAGCCTCCTGGATTTTTTCCTTGTGCTGCACCATTGAGAATGACTTTATTCAATAATGGCTTCAACTTTGTATCCACTAGTGGTTCTTGTGCTTGCCTGTTAGTTTTCACCGACTAGCTTGTATTAATGTGTTGAGTTACTTCAATGGGTTCAACCTCATTCATATGCTGAATTATCCAAATTTTGAATAATCCAAATTTTGAATATATTCTCCAAATCGTTCTTCAATGGGCAAAAAATTTTGTTCTTCTCTTCACCTTTTTCCAAACATCATCTTTAAAAAAATTTAGCAATTCAAAAAAATTGATGGAGGTGAGTAGGTTATGAACAGGGACCGGGCAAAGAAAATGCTTGTTGAAGATTTGATTTGGTGGCTAGAAGAACTTTAATTGCTCGTTTTAATTTAGCTGCAATTGATGTAGATACCTACTTACTTAGAAACCTTACCAAAGTGGGATGGCTTCATGAGCACATTTCTTCAATTTTTTAATTCAACCAACCTAAAGAAACCTTACCAAAGTGGTTTGGTTTCTAAAACAATTTTTTACTTTTTTCAGTCAACTTTTCAATCACTTTTGTTTCTCTATTGGTCACTTTTTTGGCTGAGGAGACATAGGTGGCAGGCAGCAGACTTCTTTTAAAAGCTTTCATTAATTTTTTTTTTCCCTAGGGCTTCACGTTAGCTCTTTTTTTTTTTAAAAAAAAAAAAAAATAGTGTGGTGAGTCCCACCTTAAAAAGAAGTTTCATTCTTTTAACCCTTCTAAGTTTCAACTTTCAACGCCGTCGTTGATACCAAGCACAAAAAGTGCCAGAGTCTGCCATGAAAGAAGCAAAACCTCAGACCTCATACAGAAATTAGACCTCAAAAAAACCTTAGGACCAGGTTGCCGAGCCCTTTCTTTCCCATCAAAGATGATCTGAAAAACCAAGAGCACTGGAGTTTTGCATCATTTGAAAAACCGACGATGTTGGTTCAAAATCAGCTTCAAAGGTGGTGCAAAATCAGTGACAAAAGGTGAGGTGAAGGTGGGTGTGAAATCAGTGACAAAGGTGATTTAGGCTTCTTGAAATATCTCGGTATTTATTTCTTCAACCATATTCTTGAGATATCTCGGTATTTATTTTCATCAACTATATCTGGGTGATTTTGTCTGCTAAGTTTTTATGGATTTTGTAACAACTTTGAATTACGACTGGGTTTGGAATATCGATTTGGGGGTGGGGGGGGGGGGGGT